GTCCAAACATGCTCGAAAGTCTTACACCCTGTACTCTGCAACACTACAAAGTCTGACAAATCAAGAGAGGCACCCTATACCCTCAAGCCTAAACCTTAAACCAGTTTGGAGAAACCAGTTAGTAGAAGTCTGCTCTCATCTTGGGCTCGCGGCTCTTACCGGAGAACATGTTGATCAGCGCCCGCTGCAGCACCCGCGACTGTCAGGTCAGGGCGGTTCAAGGCTGCAGGCTTGTGTGCAAGAGCCTCCACGAGGTATTTCACTTCGCGTCTAGATCTCTTTACCGGTGGAGCACAACCTGCCCCACCTACAATCACCGGCCTCCTCATGTTCTTGAAAAATCGAATTAAAAGATCTGTCACACATGCCCTCGTCTCTTGCCGCCCAGAGCCTGAAATTCTGATGCAAGACATCCTCAGAACAATCCTACTGTCTCCGAGAGCATCGGACGTAAAGCACAGGCCACATCCGACACTATGCTGAACCTTGCACTCTGTCTCCGCTTGATGGATTCGTAGACGAAGCATCCCAAATTCCACTTAAGCTTTAGGATTCAAGGCTTTTGCATGCTTAGGGCTTGACTATTGTAGTGTAGGCTCTGAATCTTGCATGCTGACCCCAAGCAGATCACTCCTGCTCGAAGTTGGGATCCGGATGTTCGTGGCCCGCCCACCTGAGCTAGCGGCTAGCGTCTGTGGACCCTTACCCGTCGACCCTACTTGGAGCTTCATGGATAGTTTTTAGTGGAGCTTTTTGGTCCCATAATATGGGTCATAATTGTGGTTACCCTACTTACAACCCCACTTATAACTACCCATGCATGAACCTCCAAGTAGTCAAACCTAGAGCTTAAGGTTTCACGGAACAAAGCCCGAAGAAGAGCCGCAAGAGCCGCTACTCAAACCCCAGGGCTCTTTGCGCGAATATGCCGAAGGCAAACGGCCACCACATCAAACTTGTCTCCAATGCCGGAAGCGCCCCAAAAACAGTAATAACATCCTGACCCCAAGCCATACCTGAACCAAGTTTCCCTTGATACTTGTAATAGAACGGAACCCCCAGCAGGCCACTGGTGCGAAATGAACAAAGCGTTGCCCATGTCCTCCTGGAACTGCACCAAGACCTGGGTCGATAAGGACTATGACTAAAACGGGTGGCAACAGCGGCAATCGCGGCAAAATGTGCTTCGTAGTAACCGTAGTCGCGACCATCACGACTAGAATGGTGGCGACGCCGCTTAGGTTTTGTGGTGCAGCGAACAACTGGACCAGGGCTGAGGTGGCCGGACGCTTCTGATGTAAAGATGATGGTTCAGTGCTTTGGGTTCCACGGCCTGCGTACAGAATTCTGAGCCTCACTGTCTGGGATGATGCCTTGGCCGCTGCGCAACTCCGACCCGGATTTCGTATCTAGGGCTGCGATTCGACCGGTGCAAGAACCCTAAGCCTCCAACTACTTGGAGGTTCATGGGTTGGTTTTAAGTGGGGGTGTAAGTCCCCTAATATGGGTCGTAATTGTGGTTACTCTACTTATAACCCGACTTATAACTGCCCATGGACCTCCAACTAGGCCAGCTACGAAGCCCATAAATACTGACAGTACACAATCCAGGCTTCAAGCTACAAGTTTGTAGAAGGTAGGCTTTACGGGTTGAGGCTTTAGGGGGCTTAGAGGGTTTTTAGGGGCTTAGGGTTGGCTCCGGATGCAGCTATTTGTGGATTCAGTCTCAAGCATGTCTTGGCTTTTTGGATTGCGCGCCTCTCTTTGCAGCAAGCTGCGGGCAAGTTTGACAAGAACAGAAGCCACTGAAGCCTCCGTCCTCTTGAAGCATCCATCGAACAGCGAATGATACCTGGAGGAGGGCATCATACAGTCTTTTGGAAGACGAAGCACTCCTTCATCCAGCAGCTCCGCGTGCGATTTGATCTCGGTCCTGGGCAGCACATGCGTGATCACGCTTTCATGAACAGGGGACGGCACTAGAATCTAGAAGCGTTGCAAGTAACTGCCAGCAAGCGCTCTCAAGGTAAGTCCACGAGCCCAGAAGGGCCCAAACCAACAAAAACAAACACCATATCCACGAACATCGTGCCATACAAGCGTCATGGCCATAAACGTGTCCAACGGCAGCACATACCTGGGCCGGGTCTTAGTGCAGAGCTACGCAGATGGCTACCCGGAGGATCAGGGAACTTGGCAAGTAGGGCTATATGTGAGGCAAAGGTAGCCATAAGTCTTTGCAGCCATTAGCGAGTCTTAGGGCCAGGGTTTTGGGATCTCAGCATCGCACTACGCCCCTGCACCCAAACCTCGGTCGGACCAATAGTCGCAACTTATCGCAAGCTTCCGAATCACCCTCAACTCTGAGCAAAAGCGAATCAAGGCCTGCAAACACTTGTTTTCAACACCTAGATTAAAACGAACCCCCAGCCGAACCCGAGAGGGAAGCTGCATCTGAATCCGAACCCTTCCCGCGCCCAGTCCTGGACCGTTAACAATACGGTATGGATAAGGGCACTGCAATCGGGGTACTCTATCTATCTACATATATATATATATATATATATATACACATACACAATACCCCTATTGCAGCCTCTTGAAACAGTTACTATAATACAGGTACCACATATTCTGTATACTGTTGATGATATAAATCCTGCGTGCCTTTGAGTCAGCCCATCATGTCTCGTCCAAGCAATTGTATCCCCGCATCTCTGAATTTCAATGTTGATGTCATAGGGGAGGTCATGCAGGATTTATATCATTCGCGCGATCCTGTTTGAGCACGTCCGTCTGCGACAATATTAAAATTCAGGGGTTCCAGGGGAGCGGGCCTGTGTCTTACAAACTCATGCAGGATTTATAACATGCACCGTAGTACCCCTACCCCTTCTGGCGGTCCCGTTCTTAGAGTTACTATAATGGATACCCGTTACTATAGGGGTACCAGTTACTGTAAGGGTAGCAGATACTACCAGGATATACCAGTTACTGTAAGGGATTCTATACAGTCTATTGCAGCCCCTTACAATAGTTACTATAATGGCACCTAAGAAATTCATGTAATTTAAGACCCCTATTACTATTGCAGTCCCCTTATCAGAGTTGCTATAAGGGTACCTGAAGGTACTTTTTTTCCGCAGCCCCTTACAAGAGTTACTGTAAGGGTAGTCTCCTTGCTTTCGCTACCTGTACTATGCGGGTACTAGATTTTTTCCCAAGGCACATGGGAAACGCATGGCCGCCCGATCGCTCGATCTGCTCATGCTCCAGAAGCTGCCTTCCTGCGAGAGGGTTAGGGGCTTCGGGTGTTTGTACTTAAAGGATCATGGGTAACTAGGGTTATACTTAGGGTAACTATACTTATAACCCCATTTAGGGTACTTGTAGCCTTGTTTACTAAGTCCCATGAGCCTCCAAGTAGGGGGGTTCCCTTCAAGGGCTCCTTTTTGGGCTCCTTTGGGCTTAGGTATTTTGGGGCTTACGGCTTTCTGGGTTTAGGGTATTCTTTGCCTTTTGGGGGTTTGGGGTTCGTGTAATAGGGTTTAGAGTTCAGGATTCTTGGGGCTTTGAGTTTAAAAGTGGTTTTGGAGTTTTGGGCTTACGATAGGGTTTGGGGGTTTTGGGTTTGCCCCCAGTGCATCCGGTCCTCTACAAAGCCTCCACCGCAAACCCCGCCAACCCAAGCCAAAATCCAGAACCCTGCCCACCTACAACTGTGCAAGTGGAGGGACGCACGGACCAGGTATCTTGACGAAAACGACCGGTCGCCCCATCGCGTCCCTTTTTGGCAACTGGCAAAAAACAAGACAATATCGTCACGCACCAAGCTCTCACTGACATTAAGCTGAAACCAAAAACACCGAGCCCCCAAACCCAAGACCAACCCCCACTCCGACCCCTTCCCAAAAGACTGGAAGCGAGCAGCGGAATGTGTCTGAGTTGCAGGATTGGAGGGGCTTGGGGCTCGAGGTTAGGGTTTAGGGCGAAAGGCCTTGAGGGCTTGTGGGTGAGGGAGAGCGACCCTGATTCCTGCCAAATCAAGGCCCACAAAACTAGTACATGGTGGTTTAGCAAGCAGCGCGCAGATTCTGTGTCGCTGTGGCCGGCCTGCCGTCTCTTGCGAAATATCCGCAAGCAGCCCATCGCTGACATTTTGTCCTGAGGGTCTGCACAGAGCGTCTAATCTCTTTACGAATCAAGTTTTACGGCTGAGTACTGAAAGCTGAGTGAAACGAGTCAAATGTGTGCGTTCTCGACAGGTAGTTCTGACGATTCAGATGCAATAGGCCTCGAGTTTAGGGGTTTGGGGTCTAGGGTTTAGGCGTATTGGCCCTAGTCATTGCTTTGTTCCTTCCGCTTTTAGTTCGGGCAGCACGGGTGCATAGTCTCGAAAGATGCTTCTGCAACACTATGTAATCTGATAGCACGAAACCACTGTGAATACTCGTCTGCTCGTGGCATGCGCAGTAGTTCAGCACCTGATGGCTACATGTCCCGATCGTGTCCTTCTACACATCCTTGGAGCTTTGTGCCTGTGTATGTAACCAAGCACCTCTCCCCTCCGAGTGCATCCGCGCAACCCGCGAGCCCCGCTGCTTTGCGCCATGGTCGGGAAGGCATTAAGCAGTGATTTAAATATGTCTGGGCATCTCAGGGTTTGAGGGTGGAACTTGGAGGCTCCAAGACTCTCAGAAACTCCGAAGTTCGTAGTTTCAGCTTTGTAGGGGGGGCAGTGATGAGAAGCTTGCAAAGTCTGCTCGGGCGCTGCTTAGTTATGAGGTATCCAACTTTTGAGCCCGAGAGCAGATCAAGGCACCTGCAACGGCTTGCACTATGGAGCGGAATTGGAGTTTGAGTTGTTGGGTCCGCATGTAAATATTGAATCATGTCATCTGTCTTTCGAGGTGGATGAGGGGGGCAGATTGGAAACTTCGATTGCTTCACTGCCAAAGCCTGAAGACACTCCCACAAGCACGACACGTCACAGGCCATGCCTTAGAGTCAAACTTGTTATCTGGCATCTTCGCAGCTTGAAGGGTGACCCAGCTGCCTTTCCTGGCGACGACGTACACCGAAATATCGGGAACGAAAATGCTGCTACATGTCTGCTATAGGGCCATAGGGTTTAGGATACACCAAAAAAGTGGGAATCAAAATGATGGTACATGTCGGCTATGGGCTATCGGGTTTAGGGGACGGCTTCCTTGAGTCGGAGCTCAACGGGCTTACGTCCTTGGGCTGGGCATTGGTTGAGCAACAGATGGCTCCTCGAAGTCTGGGACCGTGGGATTTTGGGATTTCGGCGTTACGCCTTATAGGGTTTCGGGTACTCGCAGGTCTTAAAACGACACACACAGCACTGCACAGATCATCAAACCCAACTGCACCCCGTCCTCGGAACAAAGGGCGGACGGGCCGTGATCTTGTCCGACTCCACGAAGGTCGGGTGCGGTCTCGGTGCATGTCAGCGCTGAAGGATCAAAATGCATGATCATCACCTGGATGACTATAGCTAGTTCATCATTGTAGTTAGGATCTTGCGTGCTTGCTTAGCTTGGATTTTGGCTATGGGTATGATGACCCATGTCTCCAGTTGTCTCCTCACTTATGGGAAGAACGACCTGCCAATCGATGCTCAATAATCGGAAAGCTCCAAGCCCTGAAACCTTGAGGCGTGTGATATTATCCATATGTTCCAGGCATTCTAGGCTGTAGAATGCGATGAGCCATGATGAGCCCACTTTGGCATGTGTTCCGGATCCCAAGAAGCGCCGTAGAAACGATCAAGACGATTCAAGAAGGGGTCCGAAATAACCAGTAGCAAGATTGACAAGCAGGCTGGAAACTCTTCGCTTGAGGACCCGTGCATCTCCACCGCAGACACAACGTCAACATGGATTGTTGAAATAGCTGGTCTCACCGAGGAACACCTGCACTGCATTGATCACTTTGCAGACTGTGCAGTCAAACATCACTCATGCCACGGGCAATCGGCCCGTCCCACGAATTCTGGTGCAAAATATGGAGTCTGTGCATGTACTCAAGCAATTGCTGGTTCTCTCGGCACGCTTTGAGGAGCTCGTGTTCTCGTTTCAACACCTCAACCTCGCCCAGCTTGGCCACAGCTTCCGCAAGCTGCCCAGCTGTATTCAAGCGGGCAGCTCGGGCTCGTGCAGAGTGTATCTTCTTCGCCCTCTCTCGGCCGGCCGCATCCAGCCTCTTCCCAAACATTTGGTTCCCAGTCAGCTGTGCCAGCTGACTACTGACTTGCTCGGCGTTCCCCGGCGTCAGGCCTACAGCAAGCTCTGCCTGCTTCGCCTTGCACAGCAGTCCGGCATGCAACAAACGTTGGAGAATTTGCTTGCATTTCAGCAGGCCACCAACCTCAAGAGCATGAAGATCACGGTTCATCTTCCGAAGCGTTGCATCTATGCCCAAGTCTCGGGCAACAAACTCGTGAAGACACTTCAGGACTCGTGGATGCTTTTGCCCAATCTGCAGATCCAGCGATCCATTCCTCTGCTGTATGTAGCCCTCTGCATCGAAGAAGCCAGCGAAGTATTCCCAGCTGCACTGCCCAGTGACCGCCGAGTCGTACTCCTTCAGCTTGCGCAGCTCGGCCTTGCAGTCCTCTCTGCAGGACTTTGCCTCAGGCCACTGGGCCGCCAACAAAAGCTGCTTCTGCTTGGTGATGCTATGTGGCGCCAAGCGCTTAGACGCCATTCGAGCCGACTGGCCAAAGAGCGCCCACCGAAGCGTTGGTTTACGAAGTCCCATGCCACCCTGCTTCAGCGTGATGCTTCCCCCAAAGGTCTCATGAAAGAGCATGAGAACCTCGGCCTGGTCGAAGGACTGCCCTATCGACAAGGAGCACCCCGACGAGCTTGACTGACAAGTCACGCAGCCATCCCCATCGAAGAAGCCGGACCAGTAGGCTAGCCCGGCTTCGGAGGTCAAATGAGACAAGTCCCTGCTCTCGGCTCGCAATGGCAGGGTGTAGCTTTGACCCCTGGACGAGAAGAGCCTCAGTTCGGGCCAAGGAGACTTGCTCAGTTGTATGCGGAGCTGCTCGTTCTTCCTCTGCGCTTCCTTCAACGTGTCAGATGCTTCCACGCGGAAATTGCAGACGTGGGCGTTAAACCTGGCTGCGCCTACCAGGATCTTGAGGCCACTAGCCGTCCACCAGGCGGCCCTCCCTGCCTGCCCTCTCGCATGCACAGCTTGTGTCAGCAGAACCTGCATACCCGGTCCCACGCGTTCGGTGAGCGGCTGGCCAGGAGCCCAACAAGCTGCGGCACTAAGTTCATAGCTTGAAGGATGTGTGCTGGTGGACTTGGGGTTGGGTAGCAGCATGGATGCAGACAAGCTGGTGGTTGTTGTTTGCACACCAGCTGTGTCTACGCCAAGATCTTGATCTGCAATTTTCCACACCCGGAACCCGCAACCCTAAGCCCCAAACCTGAACCTGTGAACTTCTTGTTCTTCTTGTTTAGTAGCTTTTGACTAAGATGTCTTGCCTTGTATCGGGACTCTGCATCCAGATAGGAAGTCTGGCGGAGCATGTTGCAGTCCACTCTGCGGGATTTTTTCGCCGGCCAATGGGCTGCCAGCAAAAGAAGCTGCTTCTGCTTGGTGATGTGACGTGGGGCCAAGAGCAGAGTTTCGTTTCGGGCTGTCTACAAAACAGCATTTTGATCTCAGCCTCGTTGAAGGACTGCGCTGTCACCCAGCAGCACTGCGAAAAGTCCCTGTCACAACTTACGCAGCCATCCACCGTCGAAGAAACTCTGCCATGAAGCACAGCGATGAAGTTGAAAAAGGCAAGTGGCCTTTGCCGACAGGCCGGCACAATTAAGTCGTAGACGTGGAGCTTCGCTCGGGTCAAGCAAATTCGCGAAGCCGAGCTCGCAGTTCCTTGCTCTTCATCTGGACGGGCATGCCACCAAGCTGCAACTTGCCTTTGTTTTAGAACCTGCTTCTTATTGAAGTCTCCTTCCAACAGCCTGATCACATGGATCTCCTTCTCACAGGCGTTGCATGTCAGTCTCTTTTCGGGACAAGGGCTCCAGCAAGGCAGATTATTTGGTCGTGGCGCCCCGATGTGTCTGAAGACCAAAACTCACGGCTTCAAGTCATAAACAACAGCGAAATCACCATCCTCATCCTCATCATCAAAAGCGACCTTATTCTCCATCATGGTCTTTGTCTCACCAACCTTGCAGCCGGCCGTGACAAAACCGAAGCCAAAAAATAAATCCTTGTTCTGTTCGAGAACACGGAAAGCAATTAAAACTACACCTGCACAAACCTGGTATATGATGACCCCCTCCCCCACAAATTGGAACTATCGGGAGCGATGCCGACAGTGATGCTATAGTGAGCCTAACGAAATCAGATGCATATTGCACTGTCCCCAGAAAAAGATCCCTTCTTCAACAGAAGCACGCAACTGAGGCGTTGTCATCACTCGTCGGCCGGGACGCCAGTTGATCTGGAAGCATTGAAGGGTTGGGAAGGGTGCCGGCTAAGGAATCCGAGACTCGAGAAGTAGGCGAGTTGAGCTTTTGACATTCTCAGCTTTGAGTGGTTCAGCGTTGCAGGCTTTGCCTGGAAAGAACGCAGAGCCCATGCCTTCCTAACCGCGGGAAGCCCGGGAGCAACTCCACTTGGTCGACATCGGACGTTGCTGTTTCAAGCTCTCATGAAGCGAACATCCTGAAGCAACGGCCTTGGGAGCTCTGCAGTGAGCCTAACTTGTAAGTGGGGAGACTGAAGCCTGAACTCGACAGAAAGGCAGCCCAACCAATACGAGCACGATGCGCGTTATATTGCGCAATGCGTCTTGCTGATGACGCTGGACACTCCAAACATACCAACATGCGGAGTCTGCCGCGATTCCGTGCCCCATCCCACGACAAAGTGGCATGGGGTTCGCAGTAGTTGCCAATGCAAGATCAACAGTCATGAACAATCGCTTTACCAGGAGACGGGAGAATATGCACTTCCACTGCACACCACTCCCAAACCCAAACAGTAGAACATGAGACTTGACGCTTGACCCAGCTTTCCATGAGGGTATCATGAGGCTCTAAACGAAAGCCATGACTACGAAGATCGTAAAGCCGAAAATTCTCAACGGCAGTGGCCTTCCAGATCTCTCTTCCCCAAACCCCAAATGAACTTTGATGCACTCCTTCCCTGGACGCACAAACCTCGTCGGAGTACATGCGGCTCGCGGGCAGCAGCATCTTCCCCTTCACCAGAATGGAACAAACACTTGGAAGGGCCAGGGCTCAGTAAAAGGCCTTGGAAGGTTTTGCTGGTTCATGGCCTCTGAGGGCTTCGAAAAGATGTCGTGCTGCAAAGGAAGCTTCCAAGTGAGATATGTGCTGAAGGATTGAAGGGTCCAAGTTCAAGAGATGGGACTTTGCATCGAGTTCAGCAGTACGCTTGCAGCAGCCTGCACAACGTCCTCCTTCCTCTTGCCCTCAATGTCTGTCATGTACCTGTCACGGCGGCACTGTTTGGCTTTATACGAAACTTGCGAGTCAAACTTCGGAAGTTCGGATCTGAAACTATGAAGTTCAGAGAGCCAGGCCTTTGTGTGGGAGTTTCCCGAGCCCTTGAAGCTACAGCTGATGGATAGGAGCATGAAGCTCGGAGCGCAGGTCAAGGCCTGACACGTGCTTCAGGGTTAAGTACTCCAAGTACACCCGGATCGGACCCCAACTCTAAACAGGCCTCAAAAACCGAAATCTCAAAGCCGGCCTACACCCGTGCCCAAGCCTGAATCCAGAGCTTCAAACCCCAAGCCTGCCACGGTTCCTGCCAGCCCTACACAAGCCGAAGCCTCTAGCCTGACGGACCCCGACACCCAGAAGCTTCCTGAGCGCTTCACCCCAGGAGCCCCTTCTGCGCGATTCCGGTGAGCCCCTCCCGCGCGGGGCAGTCGACGCGCTTGAGGCCTGCCGCAGCAAGCATTGGGTCCTTTCGGATTCCACAGCGGCCCTCTGAAAGCCTGCAGAATTGTACAAACTACATGGATTCCAATTAGAACAGGAGCTGTGGGTGTGGCCAAGGTTCGTATTAAGTTGACTTGTGGTCTGAAAGCACGAGTTGAAGTTGCCCAAAAGGCTGAGGCAGTTGGCACTGACCATCCCTTCTGCACTCTCGCCATTTTTCACGGCACGTCTGCGCCGAAAGGGGCGCCGAGGAGGGAGATGTCTGGCCTCGGGTGCGTGGGTTGTTCGCGGTTCGAGTCTTCTGATGCTGATCGCTGTGGTGAGGTGTGGATAGGGTTTTGGTCGGTCGGAGTTGATCGTCCTCGCTGATCCCTGCAACTCTGGGAGAGTAGAACAACATCCCTTTCGGATGCTACTGAAACAGAAGCGGAACCCGAAACCCTGCATCCTAGACGGGGGGGAAACAAGAAGAGCGGAAGGTAGCCTTGTTTACTGGACTTCCACCCGTGGACGCAAACCGCAGCCACGGCAAAAGGCTACGAACAGCGCGCCGCAACAGTCAGATTAAAAGCATTGAGCCTAGACCTTTCCAATTAGAGAACTAACGACACTTTGAGGCCTACAAGCCAAAGTCCTTGACATCAGGACGTTCCAAAGCTGCCATGCCAACTGCGATTGGAAGATTTTGGGGTCCGCCGCGGACGGCTTCAAACGTCGCCGCCGAGCCACACGAACTGGCAGTTGTTCGCGTCCAGCATGGGGTTCGGCACCAAACCGACTTCCTCACATCCCAACTCTCATGGCGAAATCGAGAGGAACGCACAATTGCAAGACCAAAGAAACAGCGCCAGTCATTGGTCGGAGGAAACATACGGACAGACGGCAAGCTGCTGTCATCAGCTTGCGGGCATTGGGATGGAGGGCAAGATTAAATAAAAGTGCAGGTGTGAATCGCCGTGGAGACTCAAAGTGCTCGGGAAGACGTGTTGTTGATGTTTCCAAAGGTTTTAGGCTCGGTTCGTACACACCGGATTGTTCGGGCTTCGAGTGGGGAGGCCTTCACCCCACAACATCTTTGCCGAAGTCTGCCACGCATCTCCGTTCGAAGAGCTCTAGAACCCTAGAAGCTCCAAGCGAGATCCCTTAACCCGAGGCTCCAATCTCTGTCCAACCTGGAGATCCCCCAGCCAGATCAGAAAGAAGGATTCATGGAAATCAGCACAAAAAGTCGATATAAGTTGCTCTAAGCCTGGGTTACAGCAGTGACTGCACAAACCTTTAAACGCTGCAATCTCTGACTCCCGCCCTCCACAAAAACCATGGTGGCCACGAACTCTACAGCCCACCAAAGTCTCTCTACATCAATAGAAACGAATTCAGCCAGGCAGCACTTGGCGCCGTGCTGCCTGGCGCCAGCAGTCTCTTGTGGACATAGAGCACCTCCAGAACCTGAGAGCTACGGTCTGCGTTTCAGGCTGTGGACCATGGAGCTCTTAGGGTTCAGAGAGAATTTTTTGGGTGGTGTTTTGAGTTACGGGCTTCCCTAAACCCTAAACCGTTCAGACTTCGGGGCTCAGGGCTGTTGTTGGTTGGAGCTGCCGTCGGGCTACGGCTTTGGGCTTGGGCAGCTTCGGCGATTCGGGGCTTGAGACAGGCTTCATTTTTGTGTTCCTGTAAGGCGTTCCTTCAAGGATTCCTTTCAAAGTCCATCTAAGGATGTTATAGGGGTCTTACAAGGGCAGGCAGAGCTGCGACAACTCATGGTTCCAGTGAGCGCCCCCAATGCAACAGCTAGTCCAAGTCAGGCTCCCTTACATCAGGGTACCCTAAACCCTAAACCCTGAACCCTAAACCCTAAACTCGAAACCCTAAACCCTAAACCCTGAACCCTGAACCCTAAACCCTAAACCCTAAACCCTAAACCCTATAAACCCTAAACCCTAAACCCTAAACCCTGAACCCTGAACCCTAAACCCTAAACCCTAAACCCTATATCATCCCACATCCGAGGCCCTGCCTTCACCCTGAAAGCTTCTCATAAAACCGAGGGACATCGGGGAGCTGACAGCCAGCGACGTTCAAGATATCGCCGTAGCCTCGGCTTGATAGACGCCGAATCTACAAGCACTGAGGCTTTCGGCTTGGAGATTGCGCTTGGGATTAGGGGCTGATGCTTGAATTGTGTTCCCATGGGTACGGGAATACGAAGTCAGGTGTCGAAATGGCGGGCGACATTAGGGTTCAAGACTGTGGGGCGTCCGGCTGAAGGCTGCAAGGCAGCGCAACCCTTCCAGGAAGTCAAGGTCTAAACAGCAACCTGCCAGCCTGTAGAAATTGGGCTGATGGAATGCGGGGCTTCTTGAAATTGCAAGGGTATCTTGCACACATGTCATTGAAAGAAGGCCTCTATACATGTATATACATATATATATATATATACACACCTATAAATAAATAAATAAATAAATATATACATATATAGATATACATGGTCCCTTATTTGCTGAAACTGCCATGTTGGGATCTCCGCCTTCAGGGATCTCCGGCGGAGCTGAAAACCCAGGTCCAAGGCCCCGCACAAAGCCGACCGAAAGCCTCAACCTGGATCCCTAAACCCTAAACTCTAAACCCATTCAGACTGCAGGGCTTGCTTTGCAAAATTTCCGATGCCTTTGGTTTAAAACAGTCGCTCCCTTCTGCAAGAGATTGGACAACACCACCCACTCACGGCATTTCTTAGTCTTAGAACGGCGCTCAAGCAATCCTGTTGCTGCCCAAGGGGCTGTTGCCGTGAGCATGCAAGAGCACAAACTGCTCGGCCAGCTTTTCCAGAGCACGCGCCTTTCCAGGAAATCCAACGAGCAGTCATTTCAGTTGCCGCACTCATACCCCTCCTGTACAAGTCATGCTCATGACACAGTGATGCTCGCGAATCCTACGCCCAAAAGCTCACCACACCCAAATGACAGTCTGTAAACCCTAAACCTTAAAGAAACCCAAATAAGGCTCCAAACCCTAAACCTAAACCCTGAAAGCTAAATCCTAAAGCCTAAACCTAAACCCTAAACACCCCAAAGCCTGAACCCTTGCAAGACCTTGGTCTCGTAGTCGCCCCCGCGCATGGGCCGGCCCAGCCAGTGCAGTTCTAGGCAGATCCTGACGAGGCACTTGCCAAGTAAGATTGTGGATCTTTCAGGCTTCAGGGCTCATGGTTACAGTTTTAAGGTTTGCGCTGCCAAAAGCTGTTGGTGTTGAAAGTGTTCAGGTGCAGGGCTCAATTAGGACTTTGAGGCTCTAGGGGCTTTCTGCACGACTGGTGGCGCTGGGGAGTTCTTTCGGAGAGGGGTGCTTGTCTGAATACCAACTCCTCGAAACCCGCAAGAAGCTCTGAACCCTAAGCCCAAACCCTTAAACCCTAAACCCTAAATGCCTGAACAGCCCGAAGCACCGAAGTCCCTTAAAGGGTGCCCAGGCGCTGATCGAAGCGGCTCAAGACTTTCTCCGGGGTGGACCTCGATTTTCAGACGTCTCTGGCTGCAAGGCACAAGGCTTCGAGGTCTTTGGCGGTTGTTTACAAGATTTCTAAACCCTCAACCCCAAACCAAAGGCCCTAAGCCCGAAGCCCCGAAACCCCTAAACCCCTAAGCCGTGACTTCTGGATTTCAGGGCTCTGTTTTTTTTTTGCCGGCCCTTTGCCTTCTGCATGGTTAGACTTGAGGTTTCGGTGCTCCGGGTTTAGGATTCTGGGCCTGGGGCCTGGGAGAGTTGGGGTGGTGGGGCTGTAAAGAGTCGGCACTGTAGGGGCTTCAAGCTTCAGGGTTTAGGGTTTAGGGGTTTAGGGGTTTAGGGTTTAGGGTTTAGCCAGGGGGTTGAGGGCTGAGGGGTAGGGTTCGGAAACAAAACGGGTTTTGCTTGTGCCCAAGTTATTCTTACTGGGGTTCTTGTCTCCTTCCACCCTAAACCCCAAACGCCGGGTTTATGGTGGGGGATGCCAAGTCTCGGGCTTAGGTCCACGTGAGCAGAGAAGATTTTCTGGATCAGAGCTCTGAGTACCAAAAATTCCTGAACCTGTAGTAACTCGAGGTGTGCCTTAGGCCCACACATGGGTTTGTAGCCAATCGCATACAAAGAGGATCCATTGTATGAGGATATAGGGCCGCTACCTTCAAGGGACTTTCGGCCCCTAGGGAATTTGAAAAAAAACCCTCACTTGCAACGAGACTTTCAACCCAAACCTTTTCCTCTGGCGCTGCACAGCCTCCTGCACTGATAGTTGGCATAGGGTTTTGGGCATCCCTCCTTCATGGTATAAACATCTTGAGGAGCCCGAAGGAATAGTACTGACAGACCCTGAACCCTAAATCCTATACCAAACCCCTAAGGCCCTAAACTCCAAACCCTAAATTCCTAGATATTACTTGTCGGGGCACAGGATCGCGGCGAACCTTGGAGTTTGGACGGCTTTGGGCGGGCTCTTCGAAACTTCCGGTCGAAGGGGCTGACAGGGCTTACCTGTGGATCCGACAACCTACCGCTTTGGTTATACCCCTTAATGACAACCTACTACTTTGTAGGGTTTTGGGGATGCAGGTAGAGGGTTCATAGGGCTTGGGGCTGAGGGTTTGGATGCGTTTCGATCTGTAGGTGCTCTTTCGGTGAGTTTCGGGCTTTCGGGTGTGCATGGAGCCCAGAACCCAAAAGTTATGACCAGACCGCTGGCAGGGTCTGAAACCCGTAACTGAATCCTGAAAAGTTTTGGCAAGGGGCCCGTGAAAACTCGACCTGCGCAAAACTCCCTGAACCTCGAAGCCGAAAGTGCAAGTGCAAAATCCTTACTATTCTATTCTCTGAACCCAGCTCGTCCAATCCCAGACCGCGGAATTGCCAAGACTGACATGCAAAAGCACGCAGCTCCCTCAGCCTGAAAAATCAAAGCCTCAGAAGTCCGGAACCCTTAAACTTGGGTTTCGCGTACAGCTTTCATGTCGCCAAGTTGAGCCAGGTTGCTCGGCGCCCTCCACATCCGCCTGTGCGGAGGGGGGCACATGTTGGGAGTGTGTGACTGCAGAAATTCCAGACTGCAGGGTTTAGGGATGCCTAAGGCTTGCTGTGAGGCTTGTTGATTTCAATTGTTCCATGGGCAGGTGACGACTCATATGGTGGCTTCGGAAATTTTTGCAAACAAGCACGTCGATGAATGCAAAACCCTAAAACCTAAACCCTAAATCGCACGTAGCGATGGCACTGGTTGTGGTTGCAGATAATGGCCGGCCGTCGCCGAAAGACTTCGGAAGTACTGCCGAGCGTGCCTTCAGCGCGATACGCGCACCGTCGGCGAAGGTGAGTAGCTGCTCAAGGTGCTCCTCTCCGGAAGCCCAGACGTACATATTATAGTATATTACAGGTACAGAATATTATACCATATGGCAGTTTTATTCTAGCCTAGTAATTAATGTTTATTCCAGGTTAGCAGTGCTCGGCGTCATGTGCACAAGTAACACGGCTTTCTATCTGCGACCCAAACGGCCAGCAGGGTTGACAGGTAGAGTTCAAGGGCCTCAGACATCACAACAGCGACATCTTCGTCTTAGCCGAACAGCTGAATCCTTCTTCCTGCAGCTGCCCCACCTCACAGCAGTACAGCAGTAGAAATGCCCAGTCATCCAGCTTCCCGAACCCTCATCATCGGGTATACTTCGGGAAACATGGGGTTAGTGTTTGGCTCAGCATCCGGGCTTTGAAACACCCTGCTCCCGTCCTCCAAAGTCCCGGCGGTGCCTGCCGATCAGGGGCTTCAACAAGCGATGGGTGGGTGTCTCATCGACTAAAAACCCTTCCAGAACAGAAGATTTGTTGAGCTTCTGGCGCGGCGGAACCCTGCTGTATAAGTCCTGAAATGCCGATAAACCTCCATCCCTCAGCCCCGGCCGCAGCAGTACCTCAAAAGGTGGGATGACGGTAGATAAGGTAGGTAGGACGAAGATACCCTTAGATCAGCACTCTTCTCGGAAGCCTGGCAGCGGCTCTGCGGCCAGGGCCTCGGGTCGCCAGCGGAGCCTGGGATGGGCAAAACACCCGAGGCGCCGCTTTGTGGGTTCGGTTTCTTTAAGGTCTAAGATATTAAGGTGTTTTTTGTGTTAAGCACCTTTTTCCGCCTGCAGGAAGCTAGCAGAAGGTCCCCAGGACCAGGTGACGGAGTAAAAGATATTAAGGTTTGGAGCTAAAGGTTTACATAGGGTTTCGGATCTAAAACATTAAAGTTTAAGGTTGAGGGTTTAGGCTCGGGTTCGTTTCCTGCCGGTCTAAGATATGAAGGTTTGGGGTTGAGGGTTTAGGGTAGGGTTCGTTTCTTCACGGTCTAAGATATGAGGGGTTCGGGTTAAGGGCTTAGGGTGTCGGGTCTAAGATCGAGAAGTCACTACAGGACAAGCGGACACATGTTGCCGTCAAGTCGGAACGGTTTCGCGAATCCGTAGGCCTTACATGGGCTTACGATGGACCATTCTCCTCGTGGGCTGTGAGGTCGGGATTTGGGAGGCCGCGTGTCGCCTTAAGGGATCACGGGACTTAGCAACTCCGGTTATAATTACGGTAACTATATATACTTATAGCCCATTATTAGGAGACTTACAACCCCACTTCTAACCACCCTAAACCCTAATCCCGAAACCCTATAGCCCAATAGTAGGGGACTTATAACCCTACTTATAACTACCCATGAACCTCCAAGTATGGACGGTTCAGATCGAAACGGCCCTGGCTCTCCCAACTTTCACGGCGGATTTCTCCAAACCCTATAGACACCCAAACACTTGAGAACGGCCCGCGTATTGCAGCGAGGCACTTCGGATGCTGCCGCGGCAGTGCTTCCTCGGATCAGGGTCCATGTGTAAGGGCGCTACCCGCCTATGCAGAGTGTAAGATTTGGCACCAATGAGCCGAGGGGAGGAGGGACCACCATGGAAATAGCTCTGCACTTGCGAATCGCGGACCTCCGACCACATAGGGGTTCCCCTATATTGTCGGCCCACTCTGATAATGCTAAACATCGGAGACCTTGGCAATGCCAAGAAAATTTACAATGATAAACTTCTTTGTTGAGTAAAGCCTAGGTATATGGAAAAATATCACCCGTAACCCTGAAGCCTACAGCCGTCACAAGGCATAGACGAAGGTCCAGGTGGCTCGTTTGACATTTGATGGAATTCCCAGAGAGCCCAATACCCCTTAATTAAGGAATATAGTTTAAATCAAGAATATGAAGCCCCTTATAATTTAAGGTATATTGCTTAATTAAGGGGTATTGGGCTCTCTGGAGTTCGGAAGCTGCAAGAGTTTGGGCTGGCGCGCAAATGAGGTTCCTGGAAGATTTCATGTAGTCGGGTCTGCGTCGTGATGGTCGTAAGAGCACCGATGCGTCTACACTGGCTAGAAGGTTTGAGAACAATAAGGATCCTACTATTTAGGGTGCTATATTAGGGTCCCCTATTTTCGGAAACCCCCATATAGAAGAACCCTTTCTAGAGTTGAGATTTCACAGCGAGACCGCCTCAGAATGCGGATCCTGGGGCCCACGCACCTGAGAATTCGGAGATCTTTTTCGTGGCCGCAGTCTCTGTGAAGGCCCTTCGAGTTCACAGGCAGATCACGTCGATCGGCTTAGGTCGGTCTTGAGTTCTGGCTTTGAGAGTTGAGGTTCCTCGTTCCTGCTTTGTCAGAGAGGCCAGTGGCTAGGTGTCAGTTCTCGCGCGCGCGTTTCCAAACATGCCCTGCAGGCCAGTCTTCCGCAGCTGTATCACATTCCGGGGGCGAGCGGCCCGTGCCACGAAGAGTCGTGCAAATCCTGCAGCTTGCTCAAATACTCGAACAACTGCTGATTTTCACGACGGGCTTTGAGTAGCTCGTCTGCATGCTGGAGAACAACAACCTCGCGCTTCTTGGCTGCAGCTTTTGCATACTGGCCCCGCCGCTTCAAATCTGCAGTTTCAGCTTGTGCCATCGTGATCTTCCTCGCCCTTTCTCGGTCAGCAGCATCCAGTTTCCTCCCAAACTGCCGGTTCCCACTGCGGGCCTCCAGCGCCAGCTTAGCTCTGATTCGTTCCTCATTCTCCGGTGTCAGTCTCAGAAATAGACTTGCCTGTCTAGCTTTGCACAGTAGCCCCGCTTTCAACATCTGCTGCAATACCTGCCGGCAATCACGAGGCTCGCAAATCCAGAGTACATGGCCAGACGTCTCTGTCTTCACTGTCGCATCGGTGCCCAAAGTGCCGGCCAAGAAATCGCGGAGACTCAACAACACTTCTGGATGTCTTTGCCTGATTCTGAGAACCAGCGAGGCTCCTGCTGGCGCCTGCGTGATGTAGCCCTCGGCATCGAAGAAACCAGCGCAGTACTCCCAGCTGCATGGACCGATGACGGCGGAATCGTATTCTTTCAGAGACCGCAGCTCCGTCGAACAGCGCTCTCTCTCTGATGTTGTGTCCGGCCACTGGGCTGCCAGCAACAGCTGCTTCCGCTTGGCCATGCTGTGGGGCGCCAACATCTGAGCTGCAATCCGGGCAGATTGGCCACATACCGACCACCGAAGAATTGGTTTTTGCAGGCCCATGCCACCGTTCTGCAGCGAGATGCTTCCTGCGAAGGTCTCCCGAAACAGCATCAGAACATGGGCCCGGTCGAAGGTCTCCCCTACGCGCAGGTAGCATCCACTCATAGCCTGCTGAAGTGCTACGCAGCCATCCCCATCGAAGAAGCCGGCCATATATCGCAGTCTCGAAGTTTTGGAGGTGTCGTGCGTCGCCGTGGACTTCCGACTCCTGGCCCGCAGCGGCAGACGATAAACGCGGCCCTGCGCTTCGAAGCATGTCAGCTTAGGCCACGGACACTTGCTCAGCTTGGCTCGGAGTTTCTTGTTCTTCCTCTGAACTGCTTTTGGCGAATCAGACGGCGACGCACGTAGACTGCGAAATGCCTCAGCTTGAGGTCCTACTACTCCTGCCAGGCTTCCATAGGCAGTTGCGCCAACCACCAGTGCCAGCAAAGCCTCCTTCCTCCAGCCCGGCCCCAGTATGTTCCTTCTCCTTCGCAGCGTCTGAAGATCCTGCCAGCCTGAACCCATGACTCCTCTGTGCTGGGCTAGGGCTCGACATGGCAGGTGCACCCTAAAACCCTCCAGCGCGGCTGGGGAGAATTCAAGCCTAAGTGTGGGAGTCTGGGGTGTCTTGCCGGGTTCTGTGGCCTCTTAATGGTCCTAGGTGGCTTCCGTGCAGTAGACGGTTTGGGCAGATGGGCTGCGAGGGTGGGTCAACCCAAAGGTGCAAGGTTGAAAACTTGAAAACTGAAAACTCCAACTCCTTAGAGCCTGGTTTCGGATGCCGGACAGCGATGCAGGGTCCGAGTTTCCGAGGCTCTGTCTCAGGGTTTGAACTTTGGAGATGCGTGGCGTGTTGCTCTAATTGTGGCGACTGTAAGGTTGATGCTCTACGGCTGAGTTCAGGGCTTCGGGCACCTCTTCCCCCCAGTGGGCTTCGGCTTGTGGCTTACGGACCTCAATAACTGTAGAGCTTCTAGCCCCGACGCAAGCAGCCAAGCAGCCACCGTGTGATCGAATAGAAGCACATCAGTGCCAGTCATCCTCAAAGAGCGACGACTTGTTCGGGGTCTGTTTGGGTTTGGGAGAACTCCAAAGAGAACCTTGCAGCCTTCACATACTTCGGAAGGGGCTGCAGCTATCAAACACGCACCTCACAAATCAGAAATCTAAGCTTCTTGGAAACAAGTAAAGCGATAGCTTCAAGATGCATCGTATTCTAATGACAGTCATAGTGCTGGTCTCTTTTGATCCGCATGCCGACGCCCAAACACAGCCAGGCAGCGCGAGCTCCCACTCGAAGTCCACATTCGTGTCTGCACCGTAGCCTCAGATGGGAGTTTCTCTTAGCAAGGGGAGCTACACTGGACTGTAATATACGATAACGGGCTATACTACACGATACCATACTATGCTATGCTATACTATACTTTGCTATAATAAGGGCTCGGGACTTGAGCTCAGCTACGGCTTCGGGGCCTACAGTCCTGCATCTCTCGGGTAGCAAGGCTAAAGAAACTGCAACTACTTGCAGGCTTCTGAAACCTTAAGAGCCGCACAACTGAGACTCTGCCACAAGGCGAAGTTGGAGGTCTGGGCTAAATCATATGCGAGAACGGTTTCGAGGCTTTTAAAAATCCTACCGGGCACGTACGGTACCGAGAACCAACGCAGCGACGAACTCTGATGCTATACTTGTCCATGCGTGTCCTTAGAATTCTGTCTGCCGGTCGCTGATCTTTCGAAATATCTCTTGACAATGAACCTTGAATCCTTGTCCGTGGTGTCCTCAGACTTCAGCTTCCAAGCTGAGCACTCCCAGCCCGAAACCCGAGAACTTGATCCGACAATACCTCGAAGCTTGAGAACCCGAATCCGAGACGCTCAGCAGGGCCGAGAAAAGTGGTCTTCGGCCATCGTCCCACACCACATATCCTGCGAAAGGACCGACGACTTCGGAAATGCCCCGTATACCCACAGTTACAGCTGGTGTCTATTTGCAGAGCAGCAGCAGAGTGAGAAACTTGCTCAAGATTGAGCGTGCACGAAACAACTCACTTCTCGCCCCGGCTAAGGGTTTCAGGTTTAAGACACGGTTTAGGGCTTCAGGGCTTTAATATTTCGAAGCGAAACCCGGAGACTGAAGTAACTGATGGGAGGCCAAAAAGGGGGGGGGTTCAAGATTCTTGGGGTAGGAATTCCTTAATATGAACCCTATTATGGGAACCCTAATCCCTAATCCCTACTAAACCCAACGATGCGGCTGCCACCTCCGTCGCTGCGCGGCCCAAGGCGCCGCTTAGCGGCCCCTCGGCCTCCGCAGGGCACCTCGGCTCGCTGCGGCTTCGACATGTCACGACACTCCCAAAAAACCTGAACCACCAAATTAATCCTCATCCCATCTCATCCCTAAAGCCTAAAACCGCAAACTCAAAAAACAAAAAAAGGCAACCACCAAAAAACATCTGAGACGATGTCTGGGATTTTTCCGGAGGCGCAGAAAGCCGCAGAGCTGCGGCGAGACGCCGCTGCCAGGCTTCGTCACTGGAAGCGGGAGCTCGGCTGCTTGGTTTGGATCCCAAGATGTGCAGCGAAGAGTTTTGAGCCATGGGCTTGAGGGATGTAGATTGTAAGCAGTTTCAGGAAAAGCGACTAGTATTCGTTCAAGGTGTAGGGCTTCACTAGGGTTTGGGGTTGCGAAAGTCGATACGGTGCAGCGTACGGCATGTAGGATTTCATCTGCAGGCTTTGGTCGAAACTCTGAATGGATGCTGGGGCGCGGTTAGCTTCAAGGACTTCGAGGTGAGGATGGTAAGAAGCTCAAGCCTTCTTGTGTAGTAGGTTGTCAAGGCACGGACAATTTAAAGTAGCCCCACAGAGGTGCTCTTTGAGGATGCTCAAAGGATTCTTTGGCTGTTTCTGAGAGCCACAATGTTCGAAGGTATAGGGAAAGACTCGTCATCCCCACGTCGTGAAACCCTAAACGCCAACACCAGAACCGAGGCCCCCCCCCGCCCCGGAACAAAAGGTTTCGGGCTTTGAGTCTTTAGGGCTCAGAAGCACGGCTGAGTCCGGCCTGCTGCCAGAAGGCGGAACCGGGGGGATGCTCTCAGACTCGGCAGGACAGGGTGGCAGGCTGGGGTACTTAAAGGATCATGGGACTGAGTAACTAGGGTTATAATCAGGGTAACCATACTTATAACCCCGATTAAAGTACTTATAACCTTACATACTAAGTCCCATGATCCTCCAAGTAGTACCCTAAACCCTAAACCCTATAGATCCCTTTAAGGAACCCTATAGATCCCTTTAAGGAGCCCTTTAAGAACCCTTACTGAGAGGAGGAGCCGCGGCTTCATGGCCCCAACCCCAAAACCCTCTGGTTTTGAGTCTCGGCTCGAGGTTCTCAATGTCTGGTTCAGGGTGTACCCAGAGAGCCCAATACCCCTTAATTAAGGAATATGGCTTAAATTATATAGGGCTTCATATTATGATTTAAGCTATATTCCTTAATTAAGGGATATTGGGCTCTCTGGGTAGGCTTCTGGGCTTTGGGGTCAAGCTCTAGGGTTTTTCACGTCGCCTTCGAAGGACTATCGCAGGATCCTCGATTCTTGCCAGGACCCCGAAGAAAGCCCTAAAGTCTGAGAAACACCCAAGTAAGTAATATAGGGGCCTCAATAATTACCTATACTATTCTGGGGGGGCTCCTTATTGTAATTATAGCATATAATGGGCCCCAAACCCTATTCTACTTATTACGACCCCTATACGAAACCCGTATAGTAGCCCCTATAGTACTCCTTTTAGACCCCCTTTAAAAGGAGCCCTTTAAAGGGAACCCTAATGGAACGATTAAGGCCCCATTGTCAGGGCTCTAAGGGTTTAGGGCTTAGGGTTTAGGGTTTAGAAGGCTTATGGTCCTTGCCTGCAGCACCCGGCGCTGCACCGCCAGTTCCTTGCAGAGCTCGGTTTCCATCCTCGGCTGTGGACTTTAGGGCTTTCAGGGTTTTTTTTTTAACCTACAATGGCGGCCTTTCTCCTGCAGCAGCCTGCCCTCCAAGGGCCTGTAGAGTGAAACTAGAAGGGTGTAGGGATTTAGGGGCTTAGGGTGTAGGGCTCAGGGCTGCCAGGCTTTAGGGCTTCAGAGATTTAGGGTTTTTGCGGCTTTGCGGGTTTCAGCCTCAATGCCCCCCAGCCCCCACTCATGTAAGGCCGAGCAGCAGCGCAACGAACTCCTGCGCGGACGCAAAGAACCAAAACCCCAAAAATTGAAAGCTGAAAGCCTAGGAGGAACACTACATGGACTCACAAAACTAATTCTTTCTCTTGTACCTTCGGAAAGTTGCTTCCGCTTTGTCTTTCTTTCCGTTTCGTGCACGTTTTGAGGATTCGGCTTTGGGGCATTGCAATCTTTTGTAGCATGACTTTGGCCGGCGTCCATGCCGGAAGTCTGGGAAAGGCAGCATTTCTAGACAATGCTGCTGTTGCTCACGGTGGCAAACGCAGAAGGGTGGCAAGCATCAGCAACAAGTAGTTTTGTAGAAACTCAATAACTCTCATCAGTGGGCTCTCGTCATTGGTATCACCTTCATGATGAACGACTGTCACCTTCATGATGAACCATCTTCGCCCTCTGGCATTTGTCGTAAGCCTGAGATGGTGCTTGTTTCTTGCTTCCAGATCTGAGCCCATGGACTTCCGCGCCGGAGATTTAGGTTTTGGTGGTGTACGGGTCAGTAAAAACCTCGAAGGCCTGCCGGGAACACACGAGCCCTCTCCTTCACTCCGGGCAGGGAGAAGCGAGAACCGGTCAAGACCTCTCGTGGAGAGCGGGAAAGATTAGGGAGTTTAGGGCTTAGGGCTTTAGAGTTTTTGGGTTTAGGGTTTAGGCGTTGGGGCTTAAGACCCCAAGGTTTACGGTTAGGGGTTTCAGCGTTTACGGTTATAGGCATGAATCTCTAAAACCCTGACAGTATAGTCCCAAGCTTTTCATGTCTTAAATCCTCAGTTTACATCCGAAACCCGGTGTCTACACTACAAAACCCCCACAGGCGTCACCTCCAAACGCCTAATCCTCAAGGATTTCAAGGCTTTGGGGGTTCAAAGCTCCAGGGGTTCAGGGTATTCGTCCGTAGGACTTAGCGTTTGAAAGTTCAGGGATACTGTAGAGACTGTAGAGCCCTTATTTAGTAATTAGAATAGGGTTTGGGGGGCATATTCTCCTTTAAAGGAACCCTATTCGACTTCTTAAGGCCCCTACATTAGCTGCACGGCGACTGAGGTTTCGAAAGCTCCGACGCCCTAAACTCACCGAAGCAGTTTAGGGGTTTAGGGGTTTAGGGATTTAGGGGTTTAGGGGTTTAGGGTTTAGGCTAAACCCTAGGAGACCAAGATCCTGAGGCCCTAAAGCCACTGAAACGCAAGCCCTGACCCAGAACGTGTCGAATTTAGGGGGTGCACTTGACTGGGTGCTTGTTGAGGAGACTTAGGTTGAGTTAGCATGATAGGGATCTGGTTGTAGTAAATAATATGATTCCATTGCCATGGCAACTTAAATGACCGCAAGGTGGGCTATGATTCGAGTCGATGTCACGGAGACTAGCTACCCATTAACGAAAATCCCCTGAAAACCTTATTGTGGTCCTTACTCCAAAACGGTCCTGTCATTCTAGCTTCTTCACAAAGTCGCAGCTGAATCCCTGATCAACACCATGGCAGGCAAGAAGCATTGCGCAGGTGCACCCAGGTCTGCGACAGAAGCGGCTCGGGCTTGATGTTTGAAAGAGGTTGAGTCCTATGCCTTCCAACGACTTCAAAGTTGCGCGGTGGGAGTACTGGAAGCAGGGTTGGAGATAAGGGTTTTGACCCTGCAACATGGAACCTCGCAAACAACGCACCCCTCACTCCAAGAACACAGCAGCCGCACAAACTCCCAAGGGATGAAGACCACTACACAGGCTGATCAGACTATATATGTACTACTATGTCATATACCAACCCTAAACCCTAACCCCCCTTATCTACTATATATTGCTGCGAGCTCTAGGAGTAATCGTGTGCTCAGGCTGTAGAATTTCAGGTGCAGCATGGGAGCCTGAATATTACACTAGGGCTTTAAACGTTTTGTCTCAAAGGGCCAAAGAGCGTAAGGCAAAGCAGTACTGCTCTAAGGTTGTGTCTCAAAGAGCTGCAGGGACTGACACTACTCCTCCCCTACTGTTCTGGTGGAGCTGTGGTACGGACTGGCCTGCACGCTTTGCTTGCTCCCTGGAGGTCGCACGAACTGGATGTCCTCGGCTTCCAGTTACACTCGGGTTCGACAGGCTACCAGAAATGACACTGGTCTAGGCTAACTACTGACTAGGCTCTGACCTCTCTAACATGTAGTGTCGAAACCTGCAGAACCAGTGTCTACGAAACGAAACTGTCGGCATCCTAAGCTCCGAGACCTGATGACTTGGCGACTTTGAGCTCTAGGTCTCTCGCGGTGAAGCCAAAGTTGCTGAGAACACAACAACGGCAACGACACTAACAACGACACTAACAATGACAACAGCAGCAGCAGCAACAGGATTGCAAAACAACAGCAGCATGGGCATCTCAGCCAAATGTCGTGATGAATACCAACAATGCAGATGTTGCTGTTATCTTCACTGCCATCACCAGCATCCTGATCTTGCTCTGTATATATTCTAGAAAACTATAAACTGCAGTACATTGTGTTCTGTTATATTCGATGATACCGTTTGCAGAATGCCAAGGCTCCGCCATGATCCTTTGCAGTGCCGAAAGCACCCCACGCAGTGCATCTGGGTCGATGCTGCTGCCTCTGAAGAGGCTTTGTGTGCTCTTCAAGAGCGTTTGAGGCTGTCGACGGTTTCGTGGGGGTGTATAGGGGTTCAGAGCTCTGTGATTGGAGAGGTGTGTATGATGTATGGTGCCTACACAATCGACACCGGGGCATCTACGCAATATTCCTTTTCTGGTAAAACGGGCATGGTCAATTTCTGAAGCTCCGGGTTTTGGGCGCTAGGTGAGATGGTTTTGGGGTTGCAGCTTCGGGCCTCTTCTGAAGAGCTCATCATAGGGACCTTTAGGGGCCTCACCCACAAAATGTGCTGGCCTCATGCTCTTGAGTTGGCGTGAGTGGCGCCGCAAGGGGCTGAAGATCTTCAGGGTGACGGGGCCGTAATCCCTAAACCCCCCAAACGCCCTAAAACCCTAAACCCTAAGCCCTAAAACCCTAAAAGCCTAAACCCTAATAAGGAACCCTAAATCGGAAGTCTGACCGCCGTAAATCTGAAGGGCTCGGATGACGGGTTCGATCAGGTTCGGCCTGGGCCCCGCAGCTGCTGAAGCTGTCGAAGACACTGGCGAAAGGCCTGACACATCACGCAAGGCCTGGGATAGTAGTAAAACCTTACCTTTTAGTTTTCATTGACTGTGAAGTAACCATAAAGATGTAAAATGCCACAGGACACAACAAGCAATGCCCTGGCATTTCAGCAAAATGAGTAGGATTAGCTTGAATCGAAGGCAGAGCTCTTCCACTCCTCCCCCACGGCTACTACTACTGCTACTACTACTACCACCACCACCACTACCACTACTACTAATAATAATAATACGTCTACTTCTACGTACGACGACGATGAAGCAGAAGAATCAAACTATCAGATCGCTTGATGGGGATGATGCCGCGATGAGAATCGCGCTCATGAGAAGCAGCTCAACCCTGAACCTTTGCACCCAAAGCCGTAGGCTCTACGACCCTGAATAACCTAAACCTTTGAAGGAACCCTGCAAGAGCCCTTCCGGCTCTCCCGCACCGAAGAAACCCCTATCACTGAAACCCCCATCACAAAATCACTATCAAATTCGCAGATTCAGACCCTGATACTGATAAAAGCCGTACTGCATGCCTTCAAAACGCCCTTAAGGATCCTTGCAGGGTTCCCTTAAGGGCTCTTGTAAGGGTTCCTTTTAGGGTGCCCCTACTTAAAAGATCATGGGACTTAGTAACTAGGGATTTTTACTAAGGTAACTATACTTATAACCCCAATTAGGGTACTTATAACCTTACTTACTAAGTCCCATGATCCTCCAAGTAGTACCCTAAACCCTAAACCCTATAGATCCCTTAATGAACCCTATAGATCCCTTTAAGGAGCCCCTTAAGAACACTTACTAAGTCCCATGATCCTCCAAGTAAAGAAAGGCCCTTGCCGTTGCCTGATCTGCTCGGAGGCTCCGCTGCTGCCGCGCCACGCGCGCGCTGCGGGAGGCCGGGTTTCCGCAGCGAGGGCAGCAGAGCGCCTGATGAGTCCGTCAATCAAGCCTGTTTTTGTGGGTTCTTGATATAAACCCGAATATGATTCATAGGGACCCTAACAAAAAAGTAGGTTCTCGTAGGTTAAGGTACTTACTAAGTCTACTAAGTCAATCAATCAGGCAGGGCAGGTGGTTATGAGGCTATGAACCTTATGGAGCTTGAATTTGTATGAGGCTTGGGGTGTCAGGAATTTGGGCTTCCGGTAGCTAGCTGTACCAGAAACCCCAAACAATGACGTACTAATCTTAATGCTCGGCTTCTTTCAGTGTGGGACGGCTTTGCTCGGTTCGGTACGGTTGGCGTTGTCTTCGGTTTTAACTCGGGGATGTGGGTTCGGCTCGGTGCTGCTACCCACCTCCCACCTCCCACCCCTACCTCCCACCTTCTCCCACCTCCCACCTCGGATACCTGCAGTGGACAGAAGTGGGTAATTAGAGGGGCGGAACAAGTACCAACAGTACTTCTTAGGCTCCTGACTCTGTTTTAAAAATGAGAGAATAATCTACCCCAAACTCTACTTTAATTGCCACGGCCTCCATACTAGTGGGCTGACCTGGGGCAGCGACGCAGGGACTTCCGGTTTGTAGGGGACGATTTCTCCCATCTTTCGGCAAGTCAGCGGCACATTTCGGGATCCTAAATCGGGCAGCGCTTCGCTGCCCTGTATGGACTGAGCTATGGCTCAGACGAATGAGCTTCGTCTGCGAAGCAGAAGCCACGACCGACAGTGCCGCCGACCCGTCCCGGACCCCGCATCATCGGACCCTCGTTTCTCCCTCGGGCCGCGCGGGGCCTGGCCCGAAGGCGTCTCGGAACGCGCACGCGTTTTGCAGCCATTCCCCGCGGTGTGGTGGGTTTCGGGGCCGCCGTGGACGACCCAGGAGGCGAGCCGGCGAGCATCATGAGCCCTCGGGCGCCAGCAACCGGCGCCGGCGGCGCGACGTGGGCGCGAAGTCATAACTACCAAGTTTTTGAGTGGGTTGCGGAAGCCGCCAATGGGCGCGCATCATGAGCATCAGCGGGGTCCGGCGGACGGGGGGTGCGGGCTACATGCAGGGCCGACGGGGGCTGAGAGCCTACGATCACCCACAAGTTGCGCACTTCGGGCCTACGTTGCACTTTTCTATATACCGCGGGTTTCTGACAACAGCTCGCGCTGCCCGCACCTGGGCGCAGCCCCTAAATCCTAAACCGTGTCCACCTCAACCACATGGCAAAAGGGGAGCATCGAAACACCGAAGCTTCCGCTAAACCTTCCCAAAACCTCAGGCCTGCGTGATCAACATAGAACCGGTAATTAATAGAACCCTTACAACCGAACCCGTCTGCCCTGCCTCATCCGACATCGGCTCCCTGCACGATGTGCACAGCCAGCCGTTTAAAACAGACCCGCCGACGCCGGAGAAGTTCGCGTGGCACCTCCGGTGCTCCAGGGGCTCTGGCTTTTCGGGCTCTCTGGGTTTGCGGTTAAGATACTTGAAGGATCATGGGACTTAGTAACTAGGGGTATACTTAGGGTAACTATACTTATAACCCCAATTAAGGTACTTATAACCTTACTTACTAAGTCCCATGATCCTCCAAGTAGAGTTTAGGGCTTTAGAGCTTTCGGGTTTGGGGGTTCAAGGCTTTTCGGGTTGGCGTTTTAGTTGCTCGGGCCGTTCGGGTTCAGAGATGTTTCGAGTTTCGGCCTCGACCAGAAGGGGTTCTCAGGGTTTAGCGTTGACCTTTTAGGTTCCTAGGGGTTTAGGGTAGGGTAGGGTTTAGGGCCGTTTAGGGTTTATGTTGCGGGTTCAGCTGGAGGGCTGCATAGCCCGGGTTTCTATACTTCAGGGTGGGTTAATAGGATTACAAGCAAGGTAGCTATAGGCAAAACAGTAGCTGGACTTTAATTGGCCGCAGAGACTGTCTACAATGTACTTCTCATCACACCTTCTATGTGCCCCGATCCTCCAAGCAGGATTGCAGATGCGGCTTTGAGATTGGAGCTTTCAGGTGCAGGGTGCGCTGAAGCGCTTGGGATCTGGAGTGGAGGGAGCTCTTTGCACGTTTAGGTGTAGGCCTCAGGGCGTCTTAGAATGCAACAAGAAGATCGAACCCCTAAATGAGTGCAGTAGTCTAAGGCGGAGTGGAACCTGACCGGCCTCTTGAAGCATAGGGTGCAGTCTGCAGGGCTTTAGGCAGGAGCCGTAGCAGTAATTCGGGTTTGAGTTTGAGAGCCCATCCCCCACCCGGCCTCGGGCACAGGCATTTCACTCCGTGAGACTCCAGTAGGAAGTACCTGTCAACGCACCGCATCCTTTGAGCTTGACTGGCGATCCAGCAGTGCCAAGCCGCAATTCAGAAGACACGCCGGGCGGCGGCCACTACTTGTTGTCAAACAACCCTGTGTACCCTTATCGCACCCTTGCAGTACCCTTAAAATACCCATATATTGCCCGTGTGAAACGCGGTTTCCGAAAAGCCGTTCCAGAAACCCGAAACTCTATAAAACCGAAACCCTAAACCTCAAAAAAGGTACCCCCCCAAGAGCCCTATAAACACTAAAACCTAACCCCTAAACCCTAAACCCTCAACCCCTAAGCCTAACCCCTAAACCCTAAACCCTTACAAAGAATCACCCCCGAACAGCCCCCCCCCTCGAAAAAAAACCCTCACAAAGCGAGGCCTCCTGGAGAGAACGTCATCGATTTCGTTGATGTATGACACGAAGATCTCCTGCTTGGACAGGGGAGAGGCGGAGGAGGACGAGGAGATGGAAGGGGTTTGGGGTTCAGGGGGTTTGGGAGTTTGAGATTTAGGGGTTTGGGGGTTTAGGGATTCAGGGGTTTTGGGGGTTGTAGGGGTTTTAGGGGTGTAGGCGGCTGTTAGTGGTTCAGGGGTTTAGAGTTTTGGGGGTTCAGGGGTTAGGGGCTTAGGGTTTAGGGGCTTAGGGCTTAGGATGACACAGCTTCGGATTTCAGGCTTTAGTATTACCTTAACCGTGAATAACCTACGTTTTTAGGGTTCCTTGTTATGATTTCTTTCTATACGTCCTGAAAAATGGCAGGCTTTCCGGGGTTAAGGTAGGGTCTAGGAGTTTTCTAGGACCGAAGGTTTGGGGCTCGGTGTTTAGGTTCGAGGGCTTGGGTAGTTTGCACGCCCTTGAGCCCAACAACGAAAAGGTGTAAGCCCTAGGCTTAAGGTTTCGAGTAGAGCCTATAGGGTTCGCTTATAGGGTAGTTAGGCGACCTAGGGCTAACAAACCTTCATCCCCAAGCTTAGAACCTAGTCGGCTACGTACCTACGTACCAGTCCACATGCCAACCTGCAGACATACCTACATACGTACATACATGGGAGTTTCCGAAAATAGGGGACTCTAATATAGTACCCTAAACAGTAGGCTCCTTATTACAAGGACTCCAAAATAAGGTACCCCTAATTTTCGGAAACTCCCGCATAAGTACGCACTGTGCCAAAATCATAAGCCCTGAAGCCCTGACTCGCTCCTCCCCTTGGCAGATGTTGCGTAGGCTTACGAGGACAAGCTGCGGCCCCTTGCAGATGAGCTTCGCCTGGATGGTCTCAGATCTCTTGACTTACCTTTGGTTAGTAGGGAATGGAAGAATGGTAGCAATAGTATTTATAATTGTACCCCATTCCTCCATTCCCTACTAACCAAAGGTAAGTTGAAGAATCTTGCAAGCGCTGTGCATAGTTCCACCATTCAGCCTTCCAGAGTTCGTGCGAAGATTTTCGTGCGAAGTTAAAACTGCAGTCTGGTCATGTAGGGGTTTCCTTCAAGGTACCCCGAAAAATGACAGGCCTAGAGCGGAAACCTGGATTAAGAAGAGGGGCCTGCTCTCACGAAAACTTATGCTCAGATCCTGATACTTAAAGGATCATGGGACTTAGTAACTAGGGTTATAATTAGGGTAACTATACTTATAACCCCAATTCAGGTACTTATAACCTTACTTACTAAGTCCCATGATCCTCCAAGTAGAGCAAGGCGACACAGAGAACCTGAAACCTGCGCTCTCTCACGAAAACGCTTGCGGGTACGTCCCGACTGACTGCAACCTGAATCCCAAACCTGCAACCTGATACAAAGAAACCCTAAACTCTCAGCCTGAGGCCCTCATATCACGAGTCGCAGTCTGTCAAGTCGATTGCAGGTTACTTCGGCTTAACGGCGTACGTAGTTTCCAAGGCTTGTAAAGCTCAGGGTGGGCGGCCTAAACATAGGAGCCTTAAGGAGCAGAATAGGCTTTGGGGGGTATATGAGATCATAACTTGACAAAAAGGAACCCCGAGGAAGAGTATGAGCTGTGTCTTCAGGCTTCTCTGGTCGTCCCCTAAGCCCCCAAACCCGTAAATCCCTGAATCCTACGCAACTTCGAATCGGATGCTTTGCAGAGCTGGGCTCCCCACATTCGGATTGCAGGAGTGATTCCTGGGCTGGAAAGAGGGAAGCCAGGACCCCCCCTTTTCTGTTTCCCAAGCAGATTGGGGTTTAGAGTTTAGAACTTTTTTTTGAGAGCCTATTTCCATCCCGCAGGGGTCTGGAGAGCCACATTGGGGTTTAGAGTTTGGAGTTCCGCCTTTTAGGGTTTAGGGTTCAGAGTTTAGAGTTCAGCGTTTAGGGTTTAGGGTTCAGAGTTTAGAGTTCAGCGTTTAGGGTTTAGGGTTTGCCCAGCTTCGGGTACGGGCATATGGGGCTCGCTTGAGGTCATGCCTGAGCCCTAGCTGCCGCGAACCCATTCTCACACACTACCTGGAGGCTCATGGGTAGTCACACGCGGGGTTACAAGCAGGGTGACCATAATTACACTTGCCAAGCCGTCAGACAGCTGACGAAACTCCCTGGCAGCCCAGCGGCACCAGCGCGAGGGTGAAGGGCACCGAGCTGGGCTGGCCGAGCCTTGGTATGCCATAGTGTCAAATATGAAATCATCTGATAAACTCAGCATGATATAAAAAGTATGTCACAGAATAATACAGAATGTAATATAATAATTATGTTTGTTGAAAAACATGCTTGCCAGGGTGTATATGTGCCCTCTTTGCGACATTACTATGCTGCGTTTTCATGTCGCGATGAAGGCTCGGAGCTGAAGAAGTTGATGAAGTTTGTGACCTGAGGCCCTCACCCAAAACCTCGCTAAAACCCAACACCAACACCAAATCCTGAACCGTAAACGCAGATCCCTGAAAAGCTTTACCCGAAAACAAGAAGCCCCTTTGAAATGCCACTCAGGCACGACACACCGATACGCCGGAGATCGAGATCGATCAGCTCCTTGGGAAAGCTTTGGCGTTGGCTCTTACGGCTTTGATTCGGGTTCTTGTAAGGGCTGCTATAAATAAGGGCTTCCATAAGGGTGGAGGGGTTTCGGGTTTCTGGATTGCAGGTTTAGGGTGTAGAATGAGCCAACCCCAGAAGTTCTTCACCCTCACCGCTGCTACTTTGATCTTGATTTTGGAGTGCCCTGAACCTCAAGCTTCAAAGCTTCAAGCTCTGAAACGCAACCTTCGAATCACCCGCTGAAACTTAAAACCATTCCGAAAGGCTCTCTGAACGTACACCGACATCGCTCCTCCTCCGTCACAGAGACCGCCACCTTGAGGAAACCCTCCTTGTGGGCCTCTGCTTTATGGGGTTTCACAGGTTGCAGGCTTTGCGGTTTAAGGATTGGGGTTTCGAGCTTTCGGTTTAGGGTTAAGGCTTTAGGTTTACGTTTTAGGTTTCAGGGCTCAGGATTATGCAGGGTTTAAGGGCGGATAAGGAGATCCCGATGTTCTCAGCTCCCGCCCGATGTTGAGGACGTCATCATGTGTGCGCGGAGTGACTTCATAGCCAGAACTAGTCACTGCCACCCGAATCCGTGCCCACAGCTTCGTTGTTGTCAACAAGAGGTCGACGAAAAATGTGCCGCCACAATAGGAGCCGTACCTTTAAGGCTCTCTGAAGTAGCTCTATTCTGACCCTGAAGGGCCTCTTTTTTGGGTAGTGGAGGTATATCACAATAATTTTACCAGCCTTTGTCGGGCTAAACCCTAAACCCTAAAACCCCCAAACCCCTAAACCCTAGACCCTAAACTCTTAGCACATGAGGGTTTAAGGTGATAGGGGCAATTTCCCAAAACCCCGATCTCCTATACCCTACTAAACCCTTAAAGGGCCCCTCATTTCGTCGCAAAGGGCCTCCTCCAGGAGCCGTTTCGCCTGCCCGGCGCGCCTTCGGAGGCCCAGGCGCGGCCCGGGAAGCTGCCTCGGAGGAGGGTTCAGGGTTTACTTGAAGGACCATGGGATTTAGTAACTAGGGATATACTTTAAAGGGCTCCTTTAAAGGGGATCTATAGGGGTTTTATTATAAGAGGGGTTTCAAAGGGTTTACTTAAAGGATCATGGGACTTAGTCACTTGGGTTATAGTTAGGGTAACTATACTTATAACCCCAATTATTCGGGTAACTATAACCTTACTTACTAAGTCCCATGATCCTCCAAGTAGGGTTGACTGTACGGATTAGGGGTTTGGGGGGTCGAGGGGTTAGGGTTTAAAGTGAAAGAGTCAGAGAACCAGGGGCTGAAAAGTGTGTCTTCTAGTGGTTCTTAAGGCTTTCAGGGTTTTCAGGATTCCTTCGAAGGATTACTTTATGAGTGGACCGGGGTTTTGGGGCATATTATACTACAAGGAATCTATTTATGTCGAATTGATGAAGCCCTGTGTTGTTCTTGGGCATGTTCGCTGATAACCAGTACTGGGGTTCTGCTAATACCTATACGCGCTGGTCGCCGCTGCTGTTGATGCTGCGGGTACTTAAAGGATCATGGGATGTAGTAATTATGGTTGTAATCAAGGTAACTATACTTATAACCCCAATTAAGGTACTTATAAGCTTACTTACTAAGTCCCATGATCCTCCAAGTAGTGTCGATGGGAGGAGGGCAGCATGGGAGATTGTGGTTCGCATGTTGCCGCTTGCTGGCTTAGGGTTTTGGGTTTAGGGTTTAGGGTTTAGGGTTTAGGGTTTAGGGTTTAGGGTTTAGGGTTTAGGGCTGCTTTTTTACTTATGACAGTCCTGGCAACCTTGGACCTTGCGCCTCCGAGTGAGGGCTCTGGAAGCAAGCTTTCATGCTCCGCACCCAACTGCTGAAAAGCGTTCCCAACGAAGACCCTAAATCCTAAATCTCTTGCGCCGCAACCCCCCTGAAGCTATCAGGCGGGCACCCCACCTGACTGCAAAAGGGGTATCAAGCTCCGACATCACACAGACAGATGCCCCTGCAAAATCCTGCCGAATTCCCAGCGAGTTGTAAAGGCCTCTACTTAAACGATCATGGGACTTAGTAACTAGGGTTATAATTAGGGTAACTATACTAACCCCAATTACGGTACTTATAACCTTACTTGCCAAGTCCCATGATCCTCCAAGTAATCCAGCCCCCGAGCTCTGAAAAAAGTTAGGGCTCAACTTCGATCCTAGTCGCTTCCAGTGCTGCGGTCCCGAGCAAGTGCCCTGAAACCAGCCGTAGAGGCCGTCCTGTAACAGCGGGTCTCTTTTCAGGGGCTCTTTCCTTTAAGGCTTTGAGGGTCCCTTTCTTGGGGTTCCTTTAGAGGGTTACTTTGGAGGGCTCCTTCCTTTGAAGGGTTCTGTATTGGTTCTATAATAGGGTTCTTTATGGTTTAGGCCTCCTCGTTGCCATGCAGGCTTTTGAGATTTAATGACTAGAATAGGGTCCCTTTAAGGGTTTCTTCAAAGGGTTCAGCTTTCCAAGTATATAAGCCCCTATATTCGGCACTTCATGGGTTCCTTGGCATACAGGTACAGCCCTTGTTGAGGATTGTCCTTATGACGCCGTACTCTTTCGGAAATCCACTCATAAACATCGGAATTCGGGGCTTGGGCTTTTGAGGCGTGGGGCTGAGGGCCCCGGGTCCGAGGCGTAGGACTCTGGAACTTAGGGCGCCCTAAATCAGGCACTTGAAAGGCCCGAATTAAAGTCCAGAACACGAATCCCTAGGTAAACCCTACGTCCCAAACCCTCAACCCCAAGCCCAGAAAGGAAAAGCACTGCAAATGCCGCAAGCGCTCCGAGACGACGCTGCGTGAGAGCAGGGCCAGTGCTGCCGTGAGCGCTGCTGGGATCTGCAGAGCAGTGCTCGTGAGGTTCAGGGGTTTCAGGGTTCAGGGCAGGGTTCTACGAGGGTTTCATACTGATTCTCGGTAGGTAAAAAAAATATATATATATATATATATATCTATTTATTTAGGGAGTTTTAATTGGGGGTGCGGGTTAGGGTTTAGTAACTGGGGCTTTAGGGCTTGGGATTTAGGAGTAAGCGGAAGAGCATCAATAGTTTATGCTACGAGAAGTTCATTAATGAATGGGACGGCAAAGAACACGACGACAACTGCGCCCAAACACAGTGCTAAACGGAACAATTGGCTTCGTTTCTAGAGCCAGAAAGTAGCACAATACCAAACAAACCTTCGGAAGAACAGCAAAAGTAACTGGCAGACCGAAGACAATCCAGAGCCTGGAGCTAACACAGGGTTGCAACGACAGTGACAATACTAGCTATGCTATGCTGCTAATCATCACATGACCAGCCTAAAAAAAAAAGAAAAACGATGATGACAGCGAGCATGACCTTTTGCTTCTACATGCCCTAAACCCTGGATCCCGAAGTCGTATCCTCTGAATCCCTACTTGGAGGGTCGAGGGACTTAGTAACTGGTCATTTTATTTTAGGGACTTATAACTACCGTAACCCCAATTAGGGTCCCTTTTAGGGTACTTATAAGTCTACTTACTACCTACTTACTAAGTCCCCCGACCCTCCAAGTAGACCCTGAACCCTAAGTCCTTATGTAACGTGGCTGTTGTTATTGGCTTGGTCCCTGCCTCAGCACCGCATCTCTGCCGCAGCTGCGTTGGAAAAAGCCGTTCCAGGTCGAATGCCTCTGTCTGAACTATGATCCTAAACATTGCCGTAACAGCTATCTTTAGCGCGAATCCCCGTGAAACCAAAGTAGTACTAAAGGGCAACTACTAGTTCGTTTGCTTTTCTATCTATCTATCTATCTATCTGTCTACTTGTATATACATATTTGTATTTGCAATACCTAGTCAGAAATAAAAAATCCCATATCATGCTGCTGTGATTCTTACAAAATAAGGTTCCTGCCCCAGAAAAGAACGGGCAGCAATAGGAAATATGAGTATCCTTTTCTTCGTCTTCCTGTATAAGAAATGAGGAAGAAACAAACATTCCCGCTTTCTTACTTTTGGTCTTCCTTTTCCAAAGTATCCGGGCCTTGTCCCAAACCCTAAAACTAGAACCCTAAACAGGATACCCAAAAAACCCTAAACCCTTATCCGGGGCCTTGCCCACCGAGAATTCATAATAATAATAATACGAATAATAACAATAATAGCAATAATAGCAATAGTACCAAATCTGTGACAATAATACACTCTTCCTATATAGCAATGATACAACATTCTAACCATACTACATCCGCCTATGATACCAATTTCCGGGCCTTGCCCGCCGAGGATTCACAAAAAAGAGCAATATAATGCCGAAAATGTGTCTAGCCATACTACATTCTTCCTATCATGCAAATTTCCGGGCCTTGCCCGCCGAGGATTGGCTCGCCTCCGCGGAGGACCAAACGAGCTTGGCCTCGGCGGCGATGTCTTCGCCTGGCCGGGGTTTTTTTTGGGGGGTTCCTTGAAGGGGTTGCTTAAAGGGGTTTCCTTTAGGGGTAGGATAAGGCTATTAAGGTTAACCGTTTAACCCAAGAACCCCCAGGAAAACGACCCTTCCCAACCCCCCCAACACCACACTGTTTCTTCTCGACTCAACCCTACACCGTAAACACCTACACTCCTAACCCCTAAACCCTAAACACCTAAACCCTAGACCCTAAACACCCAAAGTCCCCCACAGATCGAAAACTTCAACTAAACCCTAAACCCCAAACACTTAAACCCCTAAACACACACCTAAACCCCTAAACACCTAAACCCCCAAACCCTCAAACCCTAAAAGTCCCTGAACGGATCGCCTGGCCCGAAGGCCCGGGTGCAAGCCAACCCGGAGCCCATGGGCCCATGGCAGAGGCGCAGGGATGGAGGCAGCCTCCTGAGTCAGATACTTAAAGGATCATGGGACTTAGTAACTAGGGCTCCTTAAAGGGCTCCTTTAAAGGGGATCTATAGGGGTTCGTTCTATTATAAGAGGGGTTTTAGGGTTTACTTAAAGGATCATGGGACTTAGTAGCTAGGGTTATAATTGGGGTAACTATACTTATAACCTTACTTACTAAGTCTCATGATCCTCCAAGTAGGGTTTAGGGTTTAGGGGTTTTAGGGTTTAGGGGTTATAGGGTTTAGGGGCTTCGGGTTTAGGGGTTATAGGGTTTAGGGGTTTAGGGGTTTGGGGGTTCGGGGGGTTTTAGGGTTCAGGGTTTGGCGCAGGGAGGGAGGCAGCCTCCTGAGTCAGAGCGCGAGAATGCAGGATTTGGGGCCCGAATGGCCAGAATAGGGTCCCTTTTAAAAGGGGGCTATAGGGGCTTCTATAAGGGATCTATGATAGGGTTCCATAAAACTTGGAATTTGGGTGGATTTCCCCCCCGTCCTGGAACTGGAAACTGGAAAACCGAAACTCTACAGAAACCAGACCCGTGCCGGCGGCCTTTCAAATAAGCATTCGTAAGGAAGCCCTGCAGACCTACATCTCCAAGAGCTCCCAACTGAAACATCGTGAAACCTCCCACGGAACACTTCGATATGCCCATAAGTTGTGTAGATCTGGGTCTTGGAGGCATGTGCCCTAAAAGCATACAAAACCCGAAACCTTGCAGCCCACACCGAAACCCTGAAGCCCACATCCTGAGACAACAACCCCTGAAACAAAAATGCCTGAGGCCCACAACCCTGAAAAAAAAAAAAAAAAATATATATATATATATATATACCCTAAACCCAGACGGCACAGAAACACTCCTCTAGTCCCTACAGTAAGTCAGTACTTGATTGCAACATAGTACACCCCATGCCTCAACTGAAAACGGGCCCCCGAAACCCTTGAAAAGCGCAGGCCGAGCCGCTGCGCCAGGAGAGATAGCGGCTGGGTGCCCGCATCGGGCCCTCCGCCTTTGTTGAGGAGCCAGGGGGATTAAGGTTCAGGGCTTGCTTGGAGGCCCTTTTGACTTAGTAAGTAGGGTTAGTAAGGTGGGTTATGGGGATTATGATAGGGTTTCTAGGGGATACTAAGTAGACTTACTAAGTCAACAGGGCCTCCAAGTGGGGCTTAGGTTCAAAGTTCTGTAAGGGGGCTGAGCTCTAGGGATTAAGGGCTCAAGCTTGTTTCAAAACTGCGAGGAAGGGCCGGGGGTTGGGACGTTCCGTTTTGAGGTCCGCCCTTTCCGGCAGTCTTCTGTGCTGAAGGCTTTTGGGTACTTAGGCCGCTTCTTGATACTCATTGTGCGGGCCTCAGGGATGCTGAGACAGGCGACCTAAGGTCTTGGGTGGCCTGTACAGGGCTAGGGTTTAGAGTTCAGGGTTTAGGGCTTATCAACGATGTTTGCTCGAATCGCGTGACCTCTTCATGCCAGACCTTTCGAAACCCCTGAGGTATAAAATCTCATTTAGAATTGGGGTCTTGGGAGTGGCTTGACTCTACGAAGAGACAGCACATGGACCAACGGCTCCGGGCTTAGGAAAGAGGGTGCAATGTAGGGGCCCTTAACTAAGAATAGTGCCTTGGGGTATATCATGCAACGAATAAGCTATACTGGGAAGCCAAGGGATTAGTATTCGTACTTGCGAAGGCTTCTGTATGAGAGCCCCAGGATGTCTAACCGTACGAGGGATCATGATGCTGATGGTGAAGAAGATGATGACGATGATGATGGTCACATACTTGGAGGATCATGGGACTTAGTAAGTAGGTTATAAGTACCTTAATTGGGGTTATAAGTATAGTTGCCCTAATTATAACCCTAGTTACTAAGTCCCATGATCCTTTAAGTAGGCAGCTTGCTCCAGGCTACGAAGGGAATCGCTTTTTTAACATGAGGCCATGAACTGTCTGGCACATTTCATAAATGAACAACACCTGTTATCTTTGCAATATCTCTTCTACACGCTAGACCCTACAAGCCTGGACTTTTGTGGGCCCTGCAACCCTTAAACCAAAAAGAATCAAGCGCCCCTAAACCCTAAAAACCCTGTAAACCCTATAAGCCCTATAAATTCTATAGATTCCAGAAACCCTATAAATCCCTAAAACCCTATAAACTCAAAAAAAAAAACTAAAAGCCCTAGAAATCCTATAAGCCCCATGACTCCGAGACCTCAGCCGAGGCACGTAGGCTCTCGGTGCCGTCGGCCCTCCTTCGGCAAGGCCACCTGCTTTCGAGAATTTCGGGGGCGGACTTCCTGGCTTCGGTTTGCCTAGGTTTGGGGTGTAGGGTGTAGGGTTCAGGGTGGGGCTTGGGGTCGAGGTTTGTAGGGTTTTTGGGGGGGTTTAAGATGGGTGGAGTTCTTATGTCGGGCGTTGGGTGCATTTTTGTGGAAGGTTGTGGGGCTTGGAGATTCCGGATGGCAGCTTAGTTCTCGAGATCCCGAACCCCACCTGGAGGCCCTGGTTTGCCCCAAACCCAAAGCCCTGAACCGTGACTCCGATCTTCCCAGGATCTTGACCAAAGACTTTGGGGATGGCGCAACAGGCTTGCTAGGACTACTTGGAGGATCATGGGACTTAGTAGGTAAGGTTATAAGTACCTTAATTGGGGTTATAAGTATAGTTACCTTAGTTATAACCTCAGTTACTAAGTCCCACGATCCGTTAAGTAGGGCGGCTAAGCTTCTTGCCCTCTCATGGCTATGTGTCCGTCTCTATTTCTATGTGCAGAGACATATATGTGATGATGTATACTGGCTTACATCCATCTGCTTGCTCGTGTATGTGTGCATGTATTTCTCTGCTTTTGTCTGCTTAGCTACGCTTCATGCCTATGTTCAGTCTCCGACAAGCTAATGACCGACAGGCGGCCCTTATGTGACAGTTATCCTTCTTAAAGCAAATTGGACTCTCCCCTCGGTTAGCGAGCACAAGACGGAGCCTGTGCACCCTCTCCGACACCGTCGCATAATGAAGGCCACTACAGCAGCCTGGCACCTGGTGCAAGCGACGACTCAGAGCCTAAACTGCCATAACGGCTGGGCTGTGTGAGGACCTGCCGCTGTGGAGGCTATGTTCGGGTTTCTTGGGTGCCCAAGGGCTTGAGTGAGAGGGTTTCATAAAGCCCTGAGCCTTAAACCCTGCCATGCCAGCCTAGTTGAAGGCATCTTGCACAAAAGGCATGCGAGGCAAATTCCTGCACAAATCAATCTCTACACAGAGAAAGCCCCGCCGCGTAGAAGCCACTGCCTGCAGCACTCCACCCCAACCAGCCGAAAAGCCCCTAAACTCCAATTTACGATACTTGCATTAACAGCACCCTAGACTCGTACCGAGTACTCAGTACTTGCATTAAAGTAGGGTTGGGGATTTAGGCTGATCCTAAGGTTGCTGCACAAAAGCTTTGGGCCATTTCTTCAAGCGCAGCAGCGCCCCTCTGTCCATGCGGTTTCACTTGGAGGATCATGGGACTTAGTAACTAAGGTTATAAGTACCTTAATTGGAGTTATAAGTATAGTTACCCTACTTATAATCCTAGTTACTAAGCCCCATGATCCTTTTAAGCAGGGCTTGTGACTTGGTGGCTTTAGGGCCCCTCGGTGAGCCGGGGCTTCAGGGCTTCAAAGCTGAGCGCTCAAGGTTTAAGGGAGCCCTAAACCCTAAACCCTGAACCCTAAACCCTAAACCCATCAGGACTCACTTGCTTGGGGTTCCTTTGAGCCCAAACGCCCAAACGCCCAAAGTTCAAAGCCCCCACTTAGCCCAGATCCTCCGAAAGGCCAAAGATCAGGGCTTGGAGGTTGGAAGGGTTCCTTTAAACCGTCCCTTTTAAAGGGATCTACAGGGATTCTGTAAGGGTGTAGGGTTTTGGTTCTACTTGGAGGTTCATGGGTAGTTGTAAGTGGGGTTATAAGTCTGGTAAGCATACTTATAACCCATATTCATGGACTCATAACCCCACTTTTAGCTACAGTACCCATGAACCTCCGAGTGGAGGACTAAATGCTGAACCCTCAACCCCAAAACCCTAGGCGCCCTAATCCTCAAACCCCAAGAAGCCTTCTGGTATTGATACACTTTCTAAGCTCTTACAAGTGCCTCGGTGCAGGGCCCGCTGGCAACGCTTCGTCGACGCATTGTGCGAGGACGGCATGGAAAGAGGGAAAAGGCTCTATAGGGTTTAGGATGAAGGGTCAGGGATACGGGTTGAGGGCGTGGGGCTTAGTGTTTTCAGGGCTGCGGGGTGAGGATGGGCTTTCTGGCTTTGAATTCCAGAAGTCCGGGCATTTAGGCTGGGGGGCACAGTGGGACCCTAAACCCTAAACCGTATGGTCCGATGGGGGGCTTGGGGAGGGCCGGGCACAACTACAGCGCCCAAATAGACCCGGAGCCAAAGCTGCGGGAGCTCGATCTTTCTGGTCGAAGGTTCTCTGTAAAGGGGACTATAAGGGTTACTGTAAGGGATCTATCATAGGGTTCTATAATGTAGGGGCCTCAAAAATTAGAATAGGGTTTGGTGAAAATAAAGCTAGAACATAGTAAGGAACCCTGACTGGTATTTATTTAGGCTCCGGTAGTATTCGGATGACCCAAACCCGCACGCCAAGTACTTAGCACGTCTAGAGTGGGGCTTGCTGGCCCGTGTCAGGCAAGTCCAGCAGGGGCCATGTTTGGGGCTGGCGAGGTCCAGGCTATAGATTCTCTTAGATTTCGAGGTTTAGCGTGGCGCATGAAACTGTGGTTTACGGGGTCTGAGCGGAAAGGCTTTTGGCACAAGATTCAGAGATTGAGTCCGGATGTGATTCGGCCGTCAGGTTCGGAATGAAAGGTCAAGAAACAGGCTTCGTGTGTTCCGAACCCGCAGATCCCTGCAAGTCCGTCAAGGGAAGGACACACTTCCGAGATTCCAAAGAGTCCCGACAATCGCGTCAAAGTCCCCGACCACCGAGCCCTTACGGACAAAATCACCCCAACCCAGATGTATCAAACCACAAGGAATGCTTTCAAGCAGCCTAAATCCTGACCCGTAGCTTAATCTGCCCTTCAACCTCCAAAGCTCCCACGGGGGCTTCAGGGTTTATGTTCTCGTTGCAACTATGATGACGTTGAAGACTGTTTGCTGGCATGTATTTAGCATGGTCCGTGTGCGGGCGGGCTATATCCTACTAACTCTGTCCGGGATTGGTCGCTATAGGATCCCTAGAACCTAGATCTACCACCGCCAATCTTTACAACGAAAACCACCATGTCCCGCACCCCAGCTTGGTGCAAGTCTCTGCCTCGCGCTCCGAACTTCTGTGGCACGGAGCCCTGTTGGGGGTTGAGGGTCTGGGGCTTACGCTGCAGGTGTAGAGTTTATGATGTTAAGGTATGAACTATAAAGGTCGGTGGTCTCTTTACCTGGGCTTTCTGTTCTAAGGGGCTGTATATAGGGATCCTTGCTACTGTAGGGCAATATTAGGCAGCATTAGGAACAGATGACAAGGGTTTAGGGTTTAGGGGTTTAGGGTTTAGGGTTTATGAAGAAACCACCAACCTGTTGAAAATATGGAGGTGAGCGTTCAGGGCTCACGGTGTCAAGCTCCGGGGCTTCGTTGGCTCACTGCTTCCCGCAAAACCCACTCCTCTAAACCCTAGAAATGGAAACCCTATACTGAAATCTCGAGACCCCAAAACCCTAAACCCCAAACGGCCTTGACAAAAACAACAGAAACACATGGATAACACCTGTATAACAACAAGGAAAACGTCTTCAATACAGCACCCTCATAGAACCCCTATAGAAAGAAGGCCTCCCATTCTGGATGCTTCTGAAAGGCAGGGTAGCCTTCCTGCCAAGGGGCGGGAGTTCGCTTCCGAGACCGCCGGGGGGGGCGGCTGGTTCAGAGCTTAAGCAAACCATTAACTACCTTAACCTACCAAAACCTACATTTTTGTAGCGTCCCTATAAATTTCATATTAGGGTTTATATTAAGAACCTACAAAAAAGTAGGGTTTGGTAGGTTAAGGTAGTTCATTCATTCATAAGGTCATCATATTTAATTCGCCACGTCAGTAACAGTTCGCCACACGGCCTCGAAGTCAACACACGAGACACTACAACCCCTTCAGACTCCATCCCAGGAGCTCTCCGCCCAGAGCATTATAGTAGCATAACTTTTTCCAGGAAATTAACTACTCCGCCACGCTGGCCACATGAAACGGACCTGCGGTGCTCCGCTTCTCCGCGGTATATTATATGTTTAGGGCAGATTGATAAGACCCTCGCTAGGTCGAAACTTTTTCCCGGTGATGTAGATAGATAGATAGATAAATGGATAGATAGATAGATAGATAAATAGAGGCCTTGATAACTTATAGGAGCTATGAGGGCATACTAGTACTATAAATATTACAAGAATTCCCACCCTTTAGTAGTCTTCACGCGATCTCATGGGATTGCGGTGTAGTTGTGTTCCCGTCGTAAAATGTTAGGAAGCCGGCTCACGGGATTGCGGTGTAGTTGTGTTCACGTCGTAAAATGTTAGGAAGCCGGTCTCTGCGAAGTTCTTGCGAGGTTTGCTAGGTTGAGTGCTTACCTGGGGATACAACAGCTGCTTGAGGAGGTCTATACTTTACCAGCACTTCATTAAGCGACCATAACCTAAACCTATTATTTTGCAGGGTTTGGCATTGCTGATGGATTTGGATTTTTGTGCTCTGCATTCGGAGGCTGGGCGCACTCGTGTCCTCTTGTTTTGATTGGTCTCTACGTCGCAACCTCAAGCAACAAAAACAACAGAACCCTGTAGGAGCCCTCTTAAAGCTACAAGAAACACAGGAATCCGGGCTCCTGTGGTGGCCAATCCTCCATGCTGCATTGGCATGGGCCGATGCCTGGTATCGGGGTCTCCGGACTTTAAGGGTTCAGTGAGGCTCAGCACTGAAAGGGCCCTTGTACCACGCCCTCCACACTAACTACTATTTGCTTAAGAACCCCCCAAAAATAAAAAATATATTCCTTATGGGGGTAATATAGGGATTATTATTTTTATTTTTTGGGGGGTTTCTCAAGCAAATGGTAGCTAACCAAGCCCACTCCGCCCTTTCATTCTGAACCTACGCACCCAATTCCAGACCATGCAACCTAAAGTCCAACCCCAACCTGCTGAGACCCGCTTGTTCATACATGCTTGTAGCCAATGTACTGGGAAGCCTGCTTCAGAAAGATAGAGAGACGGTTCAGCGGATCCTTGTTGAAAGACGTGCGTTGATGATTTGACATAGTCTCTCTCTCTCTCTCTCGCTCGCCTGGGGGCCTGGGGAACGTGCGAAGTTCTGCGGGAAGTTGGCCCACCCGCATATAGTGCACCCTAAACCCTAAACCCTAAACCCTAAACCCTAAACCCTAAACCCTAAACCCTAAACCCTAAACCCAGGCTTGGTAGGAGAACTGTCAAACACTTCTCTCTCCCTCGCTCCCTCGATTACCCTCTGCTTCAGCACCTTACCTGAACCACGGTTTAGGGTTTAGGGTTTAGGGTTTAGGGTTTAGGGTTTAGGGGAGTTCGACAGTCTTTGATTGTTGCCATCACGACAGAAATCAGACCTGCCTTCGCGGGCATTCTTCACAGCAGAAAGCATCCGAAAGCCCAAGAAACGGCGGCGGACAGGCAGCAAGCCGTTCGGCCCATGAAGCTGGACACTGCAATGAGACTCGTAACAACATCCGTCGCAGATTTGGGACAGGCACTGTCATACGTCTTACAAGTAGTGATCCCCGTGCCGAAGACAAGAGACAAGAGAGCTGAGGGGCTTCCTCTTTTCCGTCGAGCGCGCCTCTACGAAGGCATGGAACGACCCCTGTAGGCCCTTGCTACGGGGAACGTTGCAGGGAACATAGGATTCTGATGGCTGCGATAGCTGCAGCGAAATGTGCGATGCAGCACCGTGGACAGGCGCGCATTCGCAACAAAAAGTTGACATGGCACCTTCAACCTTCCCCTATGCTTAGAAGCACTCGCAGTCCTAACCCAGGAGATAGTACTAATCCTGCTTGAAATCAAATACTTACAACCCACCCTACTCACCAACCTCCAAGTACACTCGCTAGGCCCTAAACCCTAAACCCTAAACCACAGGCGCAAACTGCCCAAACTCTAACCGCAGAAGCGCCAGGCAGGGCGAGGAATCAGGCGAACCACCTCGGAAAGGAGACTTGGGAGACCCCAGGGATCTACAGGGTTCCTTAGAGGGATCTGTAGGGTTCCTTAGAGGGATCTATAGGGTTCCTTAAAGGGATCTACAGGGTTCCTTAAAGGGATCTATAGGGTTCCTTAAAGGGATCTATAGGGTTCCTTAAAGGGATCTATAGGGTTCCTTAAAGGGATCTACAGGGTTCCTTAAAGGGATCTATAGGGTTCCTTCAAGGGATCTATAGGGTTTAGAGTTTAGGGTACTACTTGGAGGATCATGGGACTTGGTAAGGTTATAAGTACCTCAATTGGGGTTATAAGTATAGCTACCCTAATTATATCCCTAGTTACTAAGTCCCATGATCCTTTAAGTAGTCCCTATAATAGAACCCCCTTATAGATCCCCTTTAAAGGAGCCCTTCAAAGTACAACCACACAGCGGCGAGAAGATCCTTGGAGGCCCCTCTCGCACCGCACGTTTAAGCCACGCATTGAACCTCCTTGAAACGGATAGAAAATTCTCCAGAGACGTGCTGTAACACAAGGTTTTTCTTCGAAGCACAGGGGCTTCGAGGGTCCGCTTTTTCTGAAACTCTCAGAAATATGCCGAGCTCCCTGCCAGGGGCTCGAGCCATCACGGAAATCCTCAACGGATGGCTTGGTTTGAATATTCGGCACCCTACACCAAATTCTGCATGAAATTGGGGCCTAACCCAACATCCCAGGCAACAAGAAAGGCTCAAACTTGAGACTATCATGGTCTTGACTGTAGCATGGCTACAGCAAACCCTAAACCCTAAACCCGGCTCTGTGTTGGGGTTGCGGGAACTTGAGCCTGACTAGGACAGCAGTTGCAGCCAAGAGAATAGAGGACTCGTACACCTGACCCAAGAGCAAAAGCAAGCCATGTGGGTGGTTGTCAAAATTATGGTCCCTTTTTATGCCCCTAGTATAATACGGCAC